AAAAAGGTAACTAAGAAAAAGGACCTCCTTTTCTTATTTAGGCCAAGTTTTTTAATGCAGTGGGTTTAGCACAAAGTAACAGAATTTTACTTCACTGAAGTCAGCCAACTCTACTTTCAGAGGGACTTCTAGTTTCTACACCAATTACAGAACAGGATGGCATACCAATTTACTTTTTATCAATTATGCAACAGTAATGTTAAAACTATGCAACACCATGTCCTCTCTGCTACAACCTTTCTACATTTATTTTTCAAAGGTTAAAAAGCTCCAGTGAGATTTTTATAAATATGAAAAATATGCTTGCAGTTTTGCACACTGATTAGAGATTTCTAATGATGTGTTCTAAATAAACTTCAAAAACCCTGAATTGCGCTACTGCTGCTTCAGCTGCTTACTCCTTACACCTTTGCTCTAATCTGCAAAACAAAGGCAAGTTCTGCCTGAGGGTTTTATTTGGCTGACATGAACCCAGTACTCATTACACTCAAACACTTGATAATAATAGTTTTGTACAGTCATTATGTGTTGGGAATTCTGAAAATATTTGCCAAGATCCAGGCTAGCGCTATTGATCATGGGAGTTGTTAGTTTGTAGAAAACTAGTGAGGTTTTTTTGCATCAGACTACTTCAAAGGAGGGAGCACAGCTAGATATCTGATCAAGAAGGACATTACACACCTGAAATATGCAATCCCATGGCTTTCTACAGTACTGGTCAGTGAGGCACTGGGGGAACTTTGATTCACAGCTCTCCTACTGGCTTTCATTTTATCATTATGCAACTTTTGTTCACCTTGTCCCACAGCTCCTTTATGTAGCTAACAATACCAATCCTACCTAGGTAGAATTGGCCCAGATTTCCATTAGAAATTAAACAAAAAATTGAGTCTTAATAAAGATACTTGAAAAATAAAAATTAGGCTTATTTCAGAACTCTCTAAAATGGAATTCTCACCCTAACAGGTACTTCTAAATTATCACCCCCATATCTTATCAGCATGACACTGTATTGTTCTATTTCAAACACTGATTTTTGTCTTGGCCTTAGAAACCACATAGTTTAAACATGGACTAAACAAGTCCCTTCTTCTTTCCTCCCAACTGAGTTTCTTAGGAAATCCTAACAGTTTAACAACTTTCAAATGTGCCAGAAGCTACTCAGCAACTTGGTTTTTAAGAATTACTTTTCTTTTTTCAGGGCTTCATGAAGCCACTTAAATATACTTCTTGTTCAGCAAAGCACTGGAGCACTGGAGCCTCTGGCCAAAGCTTGCTGCTAGACAAAGCAAAGTGAACCTTGCAAAGTAAGTCTTGAAGGTATCACGTGTAAAATAATTTATTTTTCGTTTACACACACCAAATATGAACAGCATAAATTTAATATAAATGTTAATTCAAGTACAGAAGTCAAACACATTATTTCAACATTAAAAATTGCAACATTTAAAACAATTATTATGTAGCTAATATCAAATGCAAATAAAATGAAACTGCTATAACTGCACCTAAATTAACTGCAAGAAGGACAATTTAATATGGTGATGAAATAAACTTAAACCAAAATATGTAGTGGAACACAATAGTTGATTGCTTTTCAGAAAAATTATTCAACTTCAAATCTTTCCATTGCATTGTTTTCTGTCTACATAATACTCCTTTTGGACAAACAATTTTCAGACACAACAGCTTACAAACATTGCTTGCATAGGTGAAGCCCTCAGACACTTTAACTATGCCACTTGGCCCACTCCTCAACAAGGAACTGAAACTATATATAAAATTCCAAAAATAAGGATGGTCTGCAGTATTTGGTTTAGATTTTTAAAAAGGAAAAATAAGGCCGTTATTTTTTTGTCATTCAATAAATAAAGCACTTGACTGAGAAATGCTAAACAGTCACAATAAAAATAAAGATGGCTCAAAGTGAATTACATATATCTGATTTTTAAAATTGAAAACTATTTTCAGTTTAATGCTAAACAATGTTTTTTAAGAAGAACATGGCCTGATTAGAAAGTGAGCAAGCTGCTGTTCACACGGCTGCCACAGGCAAGCACAAGTGCTGGTTTCTTCAAGGGATATCCCGGATAAAAGCAAGGCCTCTGTGAATATGAAAGCACGCATCCCAACAGAGAGGTGCCAACAACAGGAAGTGCAACCTAAGCTGTACTTAAAAAGACATGTAATTTGTATGTGTGGAATCTTTTTTTGCCTTTGTCTCAAAGAATAACTAAGTGCATTGAACCTCAATTTTATGACTACAGCAATGTATCTCATGTAGCCTGATGGTACCTAAAGTCCTTCAAAATACCACTCTTGCATTGATGTAGTTTTATACCAGAACAAAGATTTTATTGGACATATTCTTCCTATAAAATTTTGCATCAAATTATGGAAACAAATTTGAGTGTGGTATTTAAGTTTCATATTCTGTACGCTCATGTATGAAAAGGCAAGGTTGCCAGAATGTTGTGGTTTTGTTTCATTGGTTTTTCTTAATGTTTGCTTAAGATTCATTACTTACAACAGAAGCTGTAAAAATTCTGTGTGAAACTTAAAATATAAAAGAGTAGGAATTGTGGCAAATTATTACAACTCTAAATATAAGTTACTAGTGTATATTACAGGTAATAAAAATCTTTTAAACAAATCATCTTTTAAAACCTAAATTTAATCAAACTAACCAAAACAATTTAACGTTCAATTTCGCTAATCTTCATATTGAAATGCTTAATACACACATGCGTTTTGAAGAATTATTCATCGTTAAACATGGAATGTGAATTTCCAGTAATTATATATCCGCGTGGTATTCTTTTTTCCTTCATGACAAGATCCAAAGCAATAAATTCCAAACTCTTCTTCTTCAGGGAAATTCAAGCCAAATAAGGTGTACAGTTGGCTGTGGAAAAAGGGGTGGGGAGGAAATGAAGGAGACTTGATTTCAGCAAACATACTGCATTACCCATTTCAAGACAAACTTAACTTTTAAGGAACTTAAGATAATGGTATAATGAAAGCAATCACAGTCTTATGCCAGTGCTGTGTCCTTCCCTTTTCCTTTGCAGCACTAATTCAAATGATTAAGAAACTGTTTAGTCAACAGCTCAAAGTTGGGTTTTTTCCCCCAAGAGCCTTATACTTTCAAAAAAACCCCATTCTTTGGTACTGAACATAAGTATTTTCTCATCCTATACACATATACTTTTAACCAAACTTTATAATGACCCTTTGATTCACCTTAACACAGAATATTAATGCAGACACCAGTTACATATCTCATACATATCATAGTAGTAGTCTTTCACACTGCACATTTAACACTTTAGATCAGAGTGTATTATCAGCTAAGCACCAAGTTCTGCCTGATGTACACTGCATAAACAAAACCCAACTTCATTGTGATCATCAGTGGAATAGAAAAAAAGGCACTAAATTCCATCCTGTTTTGACTGACTCTACTAAAGGCAGTCAATTTATTTCACAGACAAATATAGTCCAATATTGTATCTTTCTTATTTCTTTTTCTCCAAGTTATCCTACAGAGGCCAAAATTTACGAAGTTATGTTCCCTGTCCATAAGCAGCAGCATTAGAAAAATAACTGAATCTGCTGGAAAAATTCTGTGTGCCTCAGATCAGAAGCTTCCAGCAGTAAACACCAAGCACAGATTTCATGCTGTTTTCAAACTGCCTTATAAGCTTTTAAAACCCATTCTCATGATGCTCAAAAATGGTAATTTTTAAAAAACGAAAGAGGCCTCAGTGACAGATATACACACTTCAAGTCATCCACAATAGCATATTTGGAAAAAAATGAAGTCAGAGAAGGAAACATTAATCTCTTTCTTTCCCTGAAACTGACTACCCGAAGAAATAGTCCATATATCCAGAGTAGTATCTGAACACGAGTTAAGAACTCACACTTCTTCTGAACACTGAATTTAAACCCAACGTGGAACAGCAAATAGCTGAGAAACGACTGAAAAATGACTCAGAATCATTTTAGGAGTAAAAACTATAACCTTCTTTTGTGCTGCACAATCAACAAGAATATCAGAGTGGGTGATCCATCAGCAGGTCCACAGCAGTAGAGCTGTGGTCTCTTGAAAAAAGCAACCAGGCAGAGAATCTCTACAAGCTTTGTTAGAGCTCTGTATGTGGGGAAAAGAACAACTTCTCTAACAACCAGTGCAAACAATACAGCTAAGACAACGTCTTCGAGGGGGCAAAAACCTGCAATAAACAATCCTGGGAGGTTTACTCACCTTTACTATCCCACCATGCTGCATTCAGGGACAGCAAAGTTATATATGCTTGCTCGGGGGCTGTGATAAAAACCATTATGTGTAAGTCATCTGATAAATATTTAAGACTTCTAAATTTGTATTGTTAAGAAACTTCTTATACTACATTCTGAGCCTTTCTAAAAATCACTAAAAACACCCAAACCCACCAAATCACCACTTATCAACTGTATTTGCTAAAAGAAGCCAGAAATTTGTTTGGTTTTTTTTTTTAAACATCTTACAATTTTTACCAGGCTGTTGATTGCTCCAACAGCAACATAATTAATTTTGATAAAGCAAACCAAGGCAATGTTTGAGTAAAGAAAATCCCTACAACAAAACATTAAAGTAAAAACACTTCACTTGAAGTTTAACGTCCAAAATCTAGGGTAGCAGCCTACAGATACACTTGCTCTGAGACAGATGCTGAGTACAGACTCTTGAACTAGTTTATACAAGTTTTATCTTGGACTTGCAGATTGCTACCACATGCTGCATTTAAGATGTTTAAACAAGTGAATTCATAGTAGTAAGATACAATGCTGGCTCCACCTATTTCACTACCATTTACTTTACAAATTCTATATGACGAACTGGAATAAAACTTACTTATGTGCTACAGTTAGTTACGAAAATGCTTTTTCTTGAGATTTATTAGAGATACAGAGTTTTATCAGTATATTTTTCTTTTAAATACTTTGTATTAAACACTTTTAAATACTCTCTTCTACTTAAAAATTAATTCCATAAATTATGTCAAAGTGAGACATCACACAAAATAGCATGTGTGAAAGAACAAACAATACCCTCTAGTGGAACACCCATTTAAAGCCTGGCAGATCCCTGAAACCAAGGAAGCTTTACCAAAACTTCTCCCATTCTTCCCCATCACCCTTAAGTGAAACTCAGTGGGTAGAGAACTTCTCAGAACTCCGCCTTTCATTCAGAGGGTGTTATCTTAAGGACCAGAAATAAGTTCGGACATGTTCTAGTATTTTCTTAAACCAGTGGAATTCCACCAGCAGCAATTAAAACACTCAAATAAACAAAACGTAATTTTCTAAAGACTGTTCTGCTTTTCCAGAGTTCAGATGCTTACTCTTACTAAAGAAAGGGAGGTGGAAGTTCAACTATTCAAAGCACATCTCTGGAACTTCAAGTTTTTTTCCGCCTGTTCTTTAAAGTCATACGGATGAGCCAGATTGATTCCATCAGCTACAAACCTGCATTACTGATGCAAAGGACCTGAATGATAACTAAAACTTCCTATTTTGGGATTGACTCAGTACCAACACTGCTTCTGGACCAGAGGTGGAATACAGTGTGTGCTAATTACACAGCTACACAGTCTCCAAACTGGGGTTGCCTCAAATGTAGTCAGCCTCCAGGACAGGCAAGAATAGGAAGTCTTACATATTTTTCTAACTGGATACCACATTTAACAGCCGAGCACCATTTTGCAAATGACACTAAGGGGTTGTGTAACTTCTAAAGGCACAGACTTATTTGTGGAGAAATGAGAATCAAATTAATGGAAGAGGTGTTAACTTCTTCCATGGCGCATTCAGGTTTTTTTTCTATTCTGCTCCCCTTTCCTCCTGCCCTGCCAACATTCACCTTCTGGAACTTCAACATGTAACTCTGCTCTCCTTCTCACAAATGGACATCCAGACATGTAAGTTCCGTACATTTAAGAAGCCCGACTGTTTTCTCCCTTGATCTGCTAATGATTTATTACGCAACATTAAAATACAGCTTATTCATCTTTCAGAGAAAACATATGTTCCTGTATTTTCTAAGGAGCATCGTTTTCAAAATATTCAGGTGACACCAAGTGGTTAATTGTTGTACTGCTGTCTGCTCAAGACTGCTGTGTAACAGTGCCATATAAACTGTGTAAAAATCAACTATTCTGTTATATGACAGGAAAAACAGAAACAGACACCATAAAAACCAGAATGCCTTGAGATTATTAATCATAGCACTCCAATTTTAAAATTCTATTAAAGCAGCCCTTTCTCATTTCCTTACCTGAGTTTGCCTAAATGCTTTAAAAAATAAATAAATATTAAAAAATGGAAAAAAAAACCACCAACAAAACTAACCTGTACACATATGTAAAAATTAGGTGGCCAAAAAATTATGTTCCTGTAAAAGAAGTTACTTACCTGAAAGAATTACTCCCTATGTCATCTTTGTACAGGCACGAAGAAGCACAGTCAGACTTCCCTCAAATCACTGCTACTTATCCCAAAAAACCCAAACCAACCAAACAAAACCTCCAAAACCCAAAGAAAAGCCACAACACATGGATCAGTGCAGCTTCAATCAACACGTCAAAGCATGCAACAGACACTTCAGTGAGGAGGAGGGATCCTCTGTCACATCTAGCAACTCTTCTTCAGCTGCAGATGTTTCAACATAGTGTATATATATATACATATAAAGTTGGAACAAAAACAACTTCTGTAGATTAGATAGGAAAAATAGACTCCTTAGGGCTATGTTTCAGTGCCAACATCAAAAAGAGGCCTTTTACCAACATGAAAGATGTGTATCTTTCAAAAGTCAGCCTTATATGTTTGTTTCAAAACAAGGCTCTGTATGCTCTTTGCAGGGCCAAATCCTCACAAACAAGAATGCACAGAGCCCATGAAAAGAAAAAAAGAAAAAAAAAAGTATAGTTAAAGACAACAAAACAGAATTACTAGCCCTGAACCATTATGTAGACAGCTGTCAAAAACCAATCCTGGGATTTGGGAATTCTGCTAAATAACAATTCCCATTAATTGTGATTGTATGGCACACTGAAGTGCTAAAAAGCTTTAAAATACCATTAAAATCTTTTTCCCTACAGCACTTCTAATTATAATTGCAGAGAGGAGAATCTCAACACATACTTTCATCATTTGTTTAAACTTGTATGCATTCAAGATTTGCCCACAACTGTGAATAATCATGCTTAATCTAACATTTTTAATTGTTGTGGTGATTCTTTCCCAGATAAGTATAGGAGAGAAAATATTATCTTTAGATAGCACTATCTGTAAGACACAAAGTAGGCAGGCACGTATGGTCAAGCATAAAACCCCAAACTGTCTTCATTCCTCTTTTAAGGAAAGCCTTACACAACTATTTTGCGTTTAGCACCCTTTTTATCTTTTGTATTCAGGATTACCTGGGTTATAAAACTGTGGCCCCTAATAGCTAGAAAAATAGGGAAACAGACACTCAACCAGCAAAGTGCTGCTCATCTTGTGTAAAAAACCAGGCACAGATACTTACTACTTTATTATTAAAAATAATCCCATCACTTTGACCATCTGAAAGCACCACCTTCTGGAGGTGGCCTACTAATGCAAACCAAAGACACCACTGCTGAAGTGGAGACAATGTATAAATCTTTGCCCTTTGGAGGTTCTTCCTCC